GATAAAATGAAGTCAGAATGTTTCTGTGTGACTATCTGAATAACTGCCAGAATTAATCATGTTTATTTAGCTTGATAAGAAATTGTCTAGCCACGCATGTGCAGCCAATTTAAAAAATCATTTCCAAAGAACATTATTTTGCCGTAGTGTGTTTTCTTTATGCTAAAAAAAATTTGGCCCACCTAGACTTCATTCAATAAGAAGGATTTCTTCTGTAACTTACAACAAATAAATATTTCACTACAAATAAATATAGATACATAATTATATGTTCATATAAGCAAATCTATATAAATAAATGTGTGTCTTTGTACATATAAAAATTGAATGTAGGAGACAAATACACCCTATTTATAAAACCTTTCTTTCAGGACCTAATAAGTATCTTTTCAGCTACTTTGGTAATTTAAATATAATTAAATTTTTTTAAGTAATACAGGCCTGAGGACTATAAATGTGTACATTCAACTAAATAGCTTTTCATTTTATAATCTTAAAAGAGTAAATGAAAATTTTTTACACCTTATATATTAATCTTTATGAACTTTATATTTTGCCTTTGAATTCCCTTCTAAGAATGTGAATTTGAAGAACCACTTTGGAAGCAAATTATAATTGGAAAAACTGATTAGCTTTTATAGATGAGATTACTGGAGGTAGAAAAAGACAGACTGTACCTATCACAATACAAATGGGTTTGGATAAACTAAGAGACAGATGCAATTAAATACTTGTTTTTATCTTTTGCTCCCCATCTCTCCTCTGTGGCATATACCACATGAAAGAAATGGTCGAACTCCATTTTTTCCCTTATTGTCATAATGGATTTTCTATTTCTCATCTGTTATAGTTTAGACTGAGTCACTAATCACTTTCTCCTAATTTGATTGCTTTAGAAATAGTATGAAATTTATTTCTGAATCACGAATGACTAAACACTACAAACATAGAGAGATTAATGCTACCCACGTATCATTAGATTCAATTACCTAGATTTTTAATGCTAGGATTTCACTTTTTGTTGTTTTTGATTAAGCAACATAAACAGCATTCCCCATAGCCGGGAACACCTTTCAGGC